GATTGTATACTATATCCAAAACGAACAAAAAAACACAATAGGCCTAATAAAATATTATAGCCCAAAATTACAATTCAAGGCATATTCTAACAAAATATATGAGCATATAATCTTCAAATCAGTCTCATCTGATCATTATGGATAAGATACATGATACATACCCCATAACAAATTAGCAATATATCAAACAACTGCAACCTAATGACCTATGTACGTGAACTTCAAATAATAACAAGCAAACAAGTTTTTTTTTTTTTTCCCTCTTTGAATAAGCTTTTATTGCATATTTTTATGAGTAATTTGTATATTATTTCATTAAATTTTACATTGGTTTGATTCTATAATTTGTGAGTTTCTTTTCTTATGCTTAGACAAAGTAAGATATAAGCAACAATATTGTACTACGAACGCATCTCACCTTTTTTAAAGCTTGTAATCATCATACAAATATTATCATATCATTTAACCTCTTTTTTTTTTGTCATATCAATTGAGTCTTTAATTTATATATCTAGCATAACTTTTAATAAAAAAAATATTGTTAACCTTTCATGTAACATTAGAAACATACGTTTTTTCAATCGCTTATTTTTATTATTATAGTTTAACTAATTAATGATCCGACAAACATAATAATACCACAAGTGGTATAAGAATTCAAAATCATTATCTAAAATCACAGTCAAATAAAAAATTAACATATAATAGCAGCAATGGATGAAGTGAGTACAACATAACAAGTATAATTTAATATAATAGTTAAAGACTAAGTGGTCGATGAGGTCACCATATATTGAGTGCCATACAAGATTTTTATTTCTTTTCAAGGGTTGATATGACTAGCAAAGTGTGTATGTTATACAACTATATATATGTTGTAGTTTAGAAGCCTTAAAGAGTGTGTGTGTGTGAGTGCATGTCTCAAAGTTTGGCAGCAGACAAAAATATAGTCAAAGTTCTAAAAATGGTAGGCAGTTTGATGGCAGCTTGGCCTGTTCAACAACAACAACAAGGTTGGAGGAAGGGACCTTGGACTCCTGAAGAAGATAAGCTTCTCATTGAATATGTCAATTTGCATGGCGAAGGTAGATGGAGCTCCGTCGCCCGTTGTGCAGGTAATAATTTAATCTAGTGCACATTCTCCATTGTGCACGTTACAAAACACGAGTCTCTGCTTAGTATAACCTGTTAGGTTCATATGTCTGCAAAAACGAACCTTTAATTTACCTCCAACCACCACGAACCAACAGTTGACTTATTATAGTTTTTGAAAGAGTTAGTGACTTATTTTAAACACGATAATAAATCCATGTATCGAGTTTAATTTTTCTCTTGTTTGATTATTGATTTTAGTGAAATTTGGGGCTTGTACAGGATTGAATAGGAGTGGGAAGAGTTGCAGGCTAAGGTGGGTGAACTACCTAAGGCCAGGACTTAAGAGAGGTCAAATTACCCCTCAAGAAGAAGGCATCATTATTGAATTACATTCTATTTGGGGTAACAAGTAAGATACTTTAATTTAATTTTACTTTCTATATATAATACGTAACAACTTATTTTCCAAGATAATAAAAATGATTCTAACACGTTTAGTTATAAAAGGATTATTAGAAGAAGAAAAAAAACATGTACTAATTATCTATTTTTATCATTATTTGTATAGATGGTCGACGATTGCAAGATATTTACCAGGAAGAACAGACAATGAAATCAAGAATTATTGGCGAACTCATTTCAAGAAGAAGGAAAGATCTCGAAAAGCCTCTGAAAGACGAAAATCCGGCCAAAACCTAAAACCTAAGCCAGTACTACGGCCACAACCCCAACCACAAGTCCAACAAGGAACCAAAAATGAACCAATGAACCAACAAGTTCCTCCATCTCAAGAAAATAGTCCAAATAACAATAATAAGCAAGAGGTTATGTTCATGATGAACAACCCAAACAACACCACCATAGAGGAGCCAAACTTGATGATGATCGCGGCGTCTTCTTGGATGGACACCACGTGTAACGATCAAGACGGTTCGTGGTGGGGGAGTCTATGGAACTTTGGTGAACAAATGCAACAAGCTGATACTTCTCAATACTGTAGTAAGATGGCACTATCACTACAAAACCAAGCTAGTACTAATAGTAGTACAACTAATAATATTATTATTAACACTAATAATAATAATGGATTCTCTTGGGAAGGGGATTTAAACAATATTTATAATGGAGGTTACATTTTTTAGAGAGCATATTAATCATATAGTTTAATTTCTTCATCTTAAACATTATTATTGGTGTTCTTGTAAGATAATACTTATTATTATTATTAGGCCAGCTAATGATGTGTAATCGTACATTATTATTAGTTTTTTTTTTTTTTTTTTTTTTTTTTTTTTAAAAAAAATTTATTTAGTTTTAATTTGGTTGTAATGCACGTATATGATGATCATTGGTTAACGTTTGGTAATAAAGCAAAAGAGAAAGGTCTGCGCTGTATAATGCAAGTTATTCAGGCTTCACTTTTGACTTTGTACGACTGCTGCTGTAGAGCATGCAATTTTTAAATTGTTCGTATGTTGTATGTAATATACTTCTTAATTCTTCAATCAGATCTTAATTTTTATTATTATTCATTTTAATTTCTTATTTATTAGCCAGCTATTCTTAATTTGCATGGTCTTGATTATTTAATCTTTAGTGTTATAATTATGTTACATACACTTAAGTGTTGTTCGGATATTTTTTATATGTATCACAAAAACAGATGTGACTATATTTATGTAACGTACTGGATCTTCTAACCCTTACTGAATGTATGAAAAGTATGTGTTATAACACTTCCGATCCTAGGCTCAAGTTAGAACCAAAAAAAAAAAAAAAAATTCAAAATCATGAAATCATCAAATATTCCATAATCTTTCCAAATTTCTTATAAATAAAAGACAATGAAATCAAATATTCGATAAAGCGAATTATATGCTTGTACTTGAGATTGAACCCTACAAGTGTCCAATTAACCCTAATGGGGGATGGATCGGAGTAAGGAATAGGGTATCCCTCCAAGTGTGGAATGAAGAATCGAACCCCTATCTCGCTCAGAGATAAAAGTGATGAGCAACAATTATACTTATTGGACGAAGAACATTGCATCAACTTAAGAAGTAAACACATTAGTGCTGCTAATTAAAGTTGTAAATGAACACTAATTGGAAGAAATGAACATATTAGTGCGCTCTATGGAATATAATAAAAAAGCTAGAATCTATTTTAAGACTAAATGTCATAGGATCCGTTTTAAACATACATAAAGTAAGAGAATAGTTATACACTTCATCTACGTATGGAAATTTATATAAAATATATACACTTGTATGAAGATATAAATTGTACTTTGTTTTAAATGTATACCATATAAAAAGAGAGTGTTATCAATAACTTATGAATATGATGAGAGTGAATGAAATCTCAAGTAGTCAGAGCTCCTTACCAGTTTCAGGTGATCATATTCATATGAGTTTTAACATAATTTCTTACTATTATACGAAAATTTTAAGTGTTAATGTGTAATATATTCTTGAATTAATCTTAATGTATTGGGTAGATTTTTAGAATACAAATTTATCATTTTACTAAAACATAATTGCATATATTTACAATATAATAAAACTTGAACATTGAAAAGGTTATCATCAGATCAAATTGTTTATCTCCCTATATATTTTGAGTTTTAAAGTTTGAATAAAAAACGTAATAAGCCAGTCTTTTAGGGACGAAAAGGAGTACTTGTTTATCTCCATATTTAGAACACAAAACTAACATTACCTCAATGTCATAAAGAGATTTCATTATATCTCCGATATATAATTAATGATAAATTATCGATAACACGTATGCAAGTCGATCATAATTAGTTTCATGGCTTTAATTCATTGTTAATACAAATAGGTAGCCATGAAAAAAAAGGTTGTAAAGTTCACGATCGAAAGTGCATAATAGGAAAGCACATTATAATATATTGTGACGCCATTGAATATATGGATGAGAATTTTGCATGCGATGAAACTTCAAGAACAAAATGAATGAAAGAATGCATCATCTTAATATAAAGTTGACAATAAGCGTAGATTAGAATGCCAATAGATTATGGAACTATGCTTAAAGTTAATTAATTAAGTAAGAATTAATTAACCAAAGAGGTATGGCAATGTAGGGGACCAATGTACAGATGTTAATAGTCTTTGTAATGCTTGCTTTTTGTGGAAATTGCTATTATTAGAATTAATTAGTGCTAATTAGATTGCTTTTTTGAAAGGTCATATACTGTTTTTAGTTTTACCTGGAAAAAGGTTTAGATGACCTCTTTATTTTATGTTTGTTTTTATCATCCAAAAAAAATTAATAAAAAAAAAAAAATTGTTTTACCCTAAAACCGAAAGTGTATGTTAGTCGAATCATTAATTAGGACCTAGCTAGCTATTTTCTTCCCTTCTATAGCTAGGGTTAGGAAAGATTTATTAAGTAAAACTCATCATGTTATAGTTGACCAATAATATAAATATCTCAACTTTGATTTAGATTGAATCGTAATATGAAAAATATAAAATTAGCTAATCTTAATTATATATCAAGATTATATCTTAGCTCAAATTCTATGAGATTATATCTTAGCTTAAATTTTATGAGAGTATACCTTAGCTCAAATTTTATGAGAGTATATCTTTAATATACACAAAAAAGGCACCAGACCTAGTGGCTAATATAAATACGGAAACACTAACAGGCCAGGATTTGGGGCTTAGTGTATGGAATTAAACACCATAAATGTTTTGGAAAAAGAAAAAATTGGCCCATGCAGGGGTCGAACCTGCGACCTTGGCGTTATTAGCACCACGCTCTAACCAACTGAGCTAATAGGCCACTGTTAATAATATGTGCATTTGTTAATAATCATAAGGAGATTCATTCTGCACTAAAATGAGGATAAAGTTGGATAATGAACAACCAAAATAAAATCTGCTATCATATTAGTCATTGAAGAGAGAGAAAAAAAGAAAATGGAAAATATCACAGCAAGTGAAATTGCAGGTTTAGGGGTTGGTGCTTTCCTCCTTTGTGCCACTATTGCTGCCCCTAAAGTTGATGCCTTCATCTCCTCTTCCCAAAGAAGGTACACTTTCTAATTAATTTACTATACGATATGTGTATTTTATTCATGTTTCGTCTAGAATTAATAGTCACGCTGATAGTGTAATTTAAACTTGACTTCACGGGTCGTTTATATTGTTGTTGGTTTAATTTGCAGTTCATTGAAGATGTGCAGGAGATGTGGGGATGTAAAGCTGATACCTTGCAAAAAATGTAAAGGATCCGGATTAGTTAAACCGGGTGGATTATTTGGACTGAGTAATCCAATGGGTGATTTAGTTTCGGATCGATTCGAATCCAATCAGAGTTCAATACCCTGTGTTAATTGTGGAGCTAAGGGTCATTTTCATTGCCCTCAATGTTACCAAGCTTTTACTGAATCACAATAAGATTATTATTAATGTAAATTATTATGGAGTATGATAGTTTATTATGATACAAAAGTTTGTACCTTGTTTTGAATTAGAACTTAGAAGATTTTCTATGATATATGTACTTTGTATGTTGGTTTATTTCTATGTGTATGATTTTTTTGATTAATGGTTAATCCAATAAAAGAGATTAATATATGTTTTGGTGCCAACAAATAAGTATTTTTTACATAAAGCATGGAAATTTATACATGAGATGTTTTGATGTAATTTTTATTAAACAAAATTTAGATTCTTATTTGAATCAACTAGATATTTCAGCTTCTAAGCATATTCTAAATCATTTGCAATTGCTATTGAGGTTTTGGCATAATAGTTAGATAAATTACTAAGATCCTACATTTTGTATAGTACTCCGTCATTGCAAACTATTTTGAAGGACAATTTTCGCAAATTTATAACTTGGCTTAAGTTCTTGGACAAACAAAACATTACTACTTGTATTAGAAAACGTAAAGTACAAAATTATACTCAGTCCCAAGTAAATGGCTTTAGAGATTTCTGCGAGTAAAAATAAGGGCCGATTGTGGCATCCTATCTAAATTGAACGATCATGCAGGCCCATACTCTTTGGGCCATATTCAGTCCAATTAAGAAATGTCATTTTTTTTTTTTATCAACGTGGGTCATTTTTATTTTATTTTTTCTTTTTTATATATATATTTTTTATATTATCTTCGTTTTATATTTTTGGTAACTTTGGAATATTTTATATCTCATAAATAACACTCTAAAGTTGCAAAAATTATGGAATGAAGGTAGTAAAAAAAATTCCAAGTAAAAGTTATTACTCCGTATCAATTTTGTATTTTTAAGGGGATATTGCTCTGTATCATAATTAATCGTACACCCTTTATCATCTATTATTGGTTAAATCAATTTTTGTTCAATTTTAACCAAACAAATCTCACTTTTTTTTTCACTAATCAAACAAACTTCACTAATCTTCATAATTTCCTTTACTCAATGGAACTCCACCACTTTAAAAGCGTGTGTAAAAGGCAAACCTGAAAGGTCGTACACTTCAACATAGCATTAATTCTAGCTTTGGAGGTGACTATGGTAAGTAGAAGGTCAAAGTTTGATAGCCATATTAGGCATTTGCTTGTGAAAGCACGTCACTGTGTATGGTTTTTTTTTAGTATCAAAGAAACATTTTCCCGACCATTTTGGCTAAGCTAGAACCTAAAATTATAACAATTCTAAACACGTTGAAACCAAAATGTCCATAAAATAAACTTCCTATAATGCTTTGCATTCCTAAAACATACGAGTAAGTCATATAGATTTTTGGACATTTTATTAATTTGGACACAGTTTATTTGAATAATGACATGTACCGCATCTAATAAAATAGTCATATTCATACCATTGTACACGAAGTATGTTTTATATAACGGAAATTTTTTTAAAATTGGATCTAAACTATTTTATTTTTTAAATCGGATTAAGCTTGGTAAGAATATCCTTGTTATATGCAAAAGTATATTCTTCATAATAGTTATGATTTGACCAAAACTCCTCATTTGGAAGCCAAATTTATTCACATTATTATAAATCAAGAATTTTAGAAATTTAACAAAATAGGATTATAGATATATATATTCCATGCCATATGATTTATTTTTGTTAACATCTAGTTCTCTTTTGGGGTTAATATTTTAGTAACTAAAGTTTCCACATAATGTTTCTACGCAAATAGTTCCCAAAATTAAAATTATATGATGCATAATAAGGGTCCGAATTTTTTTTTTTTTTTTTTTTTTGAAGGAGTAAAATTACTAAACTTTGAAATTATTGTACTAAAAAAAAGGTAAGAAATCGTTAGTACTTTTTTAACACATTATTTAATTAATTAAGAACATCAATTGATTTACATTGTTAATATAATTTCTTAAACAACATAAAATTATATTGATTGGGTGAAGAAGAATGAAGTTTTCCTATAACATAGCTAAGCATTGGTTAAAGGACTTAAAGCGCCATGATGGAGCAATAATAATAGTTGTAGAAGCCTGCATTGTGGCTCTTTTATTTCTTTGCGCCTGTTGCCTGTGTTGCTCTATTCACCGGGAGGAGAAAAAGAGAATTAAGAGGAATGAAAAAATACTCGACCGCGATTGGCAAGAGTATTTACGTACTCGACCGCGATTGGTTGATGAAGAGGAACCACAACCACCACAACTACCAGGGGTCAATAATAGTGTTTAGGTTACTATTTTGTTGTAAAGATCTAAAGACAATGTTGTGTCGCTTATGATGTACGTACTCAATAATACTATTTCAAATCTACTATAAATGTCTAAAAAGAACCAAAAAAATTAAAAATAAAAATAAATTCTTAGCAGTTTTTTGGTTTCAAGTTATCAATTTCGAAATTTACTCCATTAAATTGAATGTCAACCTCGACTTTGACGCTAATCACACTATGAGTTTGTTTTTCTTCGTTATACTCCGTAAATAAATTGTCACGTTCATGTGTTACCCAATTTAAATATTTTGTGTTTGCTTTAAAAAGTGATATATGTGTGCCCTAACTACTAAACAATCAGAATATTACTTGTATTAAACATAACAAAGCTACAATATCTACATTAGAAAGTCCTGAAAGATTATTGTGATTGTACTTCTATTGCTTGCATAATAACCCTAAAGCATAGTCAATCGATCATTCACAACCTTATTATCCTTATTAGTACTCTAATTATTTTAAGATCGAAAATGTTTTCACGGAACAAGTACCCTGTTAGTAAATTTCAAACTTTAGACCGTAGACTATTTCACATTGCATCTCTAATTATATCAAATAAAACAAATCTTAAAATAACATATTGCCCAAGTTACTACAGTTCACTAGAGTTTTAGGGGTAATTTTTTTCTTCTGAATTTATAGGACAAATGTCAAGCAAAGAAGCCAAACAGAGCACAAAATTTATGAGTAAAAAAACGGAAATCCAACGGCCGAAATTACTGTTCAGACACTGCCGTCACTCATTAACATGTCACGGCACTTCAATCACCTGAATTACTGTTCCAAATAACTTCCAATTAGCCACTCATAAATTGACACGTACGTGATGTTTGCGGCTTGTTTGGACAAAGGTAAAAACAATCATATCCAAATTAAATTGAAAAAAATAAAAATACTTTTTTCTTTTTTGTTTAAATAGTAAAAAAATACTTTAATTTATATTTATCTGAAAGTAAAAAAAAAAAAAAACTCGGAAATTAGCATTGTTCATTGATTTTACAGACAAAAATTACAGAGATGGTGGTGACAAATTGTACACTACGTAAAAGGTTGTTCTAAGTTTGTTAGGGGGTTAGCACAATCATTTACTTAAGAGATCTTTGTCTGTAACCATAAACTGTAGTATGTGTCTTGACTCTTGCAACATTTATTTATCAGATATTTTCAAATTATTTGAGTGATTGACAATCGATTGGAGAAACTACTTTCTCAATGCCAAAACATGTACAGTAAATGATGTTAATTTCTCTTTGTAAAGATAAATTTCATTTAATATACGATAAGATTAGCGTTTTGATTGATATACAAGATGTAACATTTCCTTTATACCATAATAATGTTACACAAGGTGAGCAGTTATCCATGTACACCTACATGGTGTATTAGTGTATCCATGGTTTAAACAATCGTAAGTTTTTATTCGAAAAAGAGTGACTTCATTCAAAAGATCTACATTAGTACTTCGATCCATATTGTACTACCTATACTAATTATCTTGCCATTGCATTAGATGACCTTGATGGACATGGTGGGTAGAGCACTTTATGACTTAATTAGATGTTACATGTTCAAGTCTGGCATGTTTGGTTTCCAGGGGAAGTAAATTCCTATAGAAAATCATATTACAAAGGAAATTAGTTCTCACTTGCAATTCCTAGGAATTTTGTTTGATGAAGAGCCTGTTCTGATTGACTGAACTGAACTGAATATTTTATAAGAGAAGGATATTAAGATAAGAACTGAACTGAACTTATTGAAGTTGAACTGAACTAAACTGAAAAGCTGAAGAGAACAGGCCCTTAGAACAAGGGCATTTGAAATTTCCTTGAATTTTGATTGACCAAGGAATGATGTGGTAATTTATTTTCTATATTTTGTGAGAAGTTCAAATTCCCAAGATTTTCTATTTCCTCTTTTTTCAAATTTTATTGCCAAGTCAAACAACCACCCCATATGCAAATTCCCATCAAAATTTCCTACGCTCTTGAAGGTTAACCAAACAAGCTCAATTATCTACTTGTGCAGTTGTGCTTGGGAGTAGTTCTTGTTGGGGGGGGGGGATTCGGGGAAGGTGGTTGAGATTTCTTTACTTAACCCCTAATCTTAACCGTTAATCTATAAAACCTAATTTTTCAAGTTTGATCAATTCATGTTATTTACATAATAATCGGCATAAATTGTATGGGTAAATAAGCATAATTTTTGAAATATAGTTAGTCATCCCAAACAACATATATAAATGTCTCAAATTGATAAAAGCAGAGTGGGATAACACTTTATAAGGCTAAGGGACTACTTCTCCTATTGCCGCGGCATATTGTTTAAGGATGTAACCTGCTTTGGTCTTGTGAAATAGACTCTTTCTTGGTGATGGATCTAACCCAAACCAGTATGTAACACTAATGTATTGTGTATATTTGTGGACCATCTCAACCAAAAGCTTAAGCTCATGGTTGAGGCCCAGGAATGTGTTTTATACTCTATCACTTCCCCTCACATGAAAGGCCTTTTGGACTCGGATACCATGTTAGTGGACCATCTCAACCAAAAATCTTAAACTCATGATTGTGGTTCAGGAATATGTTTTATACTCTATCAGTGTACAAATAAATTTACATATTTAAATACAAAATGATTTTTAAGTGCACCCAAGTAAAGAAAAAAAAATGTATGTTAACATGCATATCTAGTTACTCCGAATTTTACAAAATTGTTGCAAATCGGA